GAATTCAAATACAATAAATATCTATTAAACAAATTCAAAGAAGTTTAGCTAATAAAATGCTTTGGCTGCTTCGGTAAAACAGAAACTGGGTTAAAGGCAAAAATGGATTATGCGCCGTGGAAAACAGAGCCTCTGAAGGAAGTGTGAAGACTATTAAAAACCTTTAAAGAACCAGAATAAAACTACATACTTGATTTGGTTTGATGATTTATTCTATTTGGATCAGTTTATTTCCTGGTTACAGTCATTGGTCCGGACTGAAATCTTCAAGAGTGTTTAATATTAACATTATTAATATATAACATTATGGAGAATGTATTTTCTATCCGCAATATAAATCTAACAATGATGTCTATTTGTTTAGCTCAAAATTATTATTATTATTATTTCTTATATTATTATTATTATTATTATTATTATTAATGTTATATTATAATTATTATTATATTGTTATATTATTATATTGTTATATTAAAATAATAATTATTATTATATTAAAATTATTATTATTTTATATTGTATTATTAGTGTAATTGTTATTATTATTATATTTTTATAATTGTGATATAATTTTTATATTATTATTATTATATTATTAATATTATGATTATTGTATCTTATATTAGTATTAATTTTAATATTATTATTATTACTATATTATTTTCATTAAATTATTATATCATTATTATTATAATTATATTATTATTATATCATTGTTATATTATTATTACTACTATCATCATTTTTATTATTATTATTTTTTATATTAGTATTAATTATAATATTATTGTTATATTATTATTTTATATTATTATTATTATATCACTGTTATATTGTTATTATTATTATTATTATTATTATTATTATTATTATTATTATTATTATTATTATTATTATTATTATTATTATTATTATTATAAGTGGTCCAGACAGTTAAGTGTATTTTATTATAACTGACTCTCTTTAAATTCACAATTAAGTATTAAAGGTGTAATTAAGATGAACTTTCCATAAAAGAAAACTTTCCAAAATGTGTGATGAAAAAAAGAAAATAAAGGAATAAAGCTTGTGTTGTTTCTTTTTTCCAAAGACTTAAACTCTCATAATTAATTTTTTATAGACAAGTAAAAAATCATCTATTTGTTTCTCACACACTAGCTTGAACATCATAAACCCGTCCCTTTTCTGAATGAACGAGCAAACCAAATGCATCTAAATGAAGAAGGTGTGCTTCATCTATACAGCAGGTGGAGAATGACCTTTTAACATGTCACTCACATCAAACTCTTCCCAGAAGCCGGCTTTAATCTTTTTATCGGCCCCGTCCATCTTCTCTCTCTCTGAGGTCTGGTCGAGCTGATTTACTCTGCTCTGAATATCAGCGGCGTTCAGCCTCGTCGAGTAATAGGGCTGCGGAAAACAAAGAGGACATCCACACAAAGACAGACAGACAGAAAGGTTGAAGATTAATCACATTTCCCACACTTCTTTGTTTGTCACACTTTAAAGAAGATAACTTCACGCTTCAGTCTTTTAATGTCAGCAGAACTGATGCTCCTGAGTCAAAGTCAGCATTTACACACTATATACAGTTATAAATATGATCTAAAACTATTTGTAACATATATTACAACATTTTGGGTTTTAAAATAAAGAGTTAATTTGCAGAAATTGATAACTCATGCTTTTGGATTTTAGTGCTTTTCAGAAGTGTACAGTTATGGGGAATAAATCAGATTCAAATTGAATTTATTTTTCAGAAATGCAAAGTTTTACGTTGAGGATTGAACTGAAAAAGTAAAAATAAAAATAAAAAAATAAATAAATAAATAAAATACATGATTAATAGAAAAGTTTTTTTAGTGTTCAAAAATCATGTTTTTACTTGAGTATGTAATTATAAAAATACATTTAAAAAATTGTCAAAAACCTTACACAAACAAATAAATAAAATATAAAATAAAATTACGCAAACACAAATAAGCAAAATATAAAATAAAAATACACACACACATAAATAAATAAATAAATAAATAAATAAATAAATAAATAAAATATAAAATAAAATAATTACACAAACACATAAATGAATAAATAAATAAGTAAATAAATAAATAAAATAATTACACAAACACATAAATAAATAAACTAATAAATAAATAAATAAATATAAATAAAATGATTACACAAACACATAAATAAAAATAAATAAAATAATTACACAAACAAATAAATAAAAAATAAAATAATTACACTAACACATAAATAAATAAATAAATATATAAACTGAAATAATTGCACAAATAAATAAATAAAATAATTACACAAACAAATAAATATATAAATTAAATAACTATTATATATTATATTATATAGTATTATATTTTAAAAATGCATTTATGAAAAAAACATGACGTATCCTTAAACTGTAGCTTTTTATTGTTCAGAAGTCATGTCTTTACATTGAGTATTGAATCATGTATTAATATATTCATAATAAAATACAGTACACACTTAAATTATGTCAAAACAAACTTTTATTTTGGATGTGATAGCAATTAATTATTGCAATGCAATAAAAGATATATAAAAGTTAATCTACGATCATATCTTTCTGCTAGACTAAAAAAAACTATCGGGAAAAAACAATTAATGTCAGCTGCAAGAAAACACTGCTTTTGTCTGCAGTGTCTTGGATTAATACCAGAAGCTGACCAGTTGCTTGACCTTTAAGATATTAAACATGCTGATTGGGGGAAAAAAAAAAAACATCAGTTTACTTTACCTGTTTGAGATAAACCATTGTGCCAGACAACTCCTCAATACCAACACGCTTGAAATGCTCCACAAGGTCTGTCAAATTATCAAACTGGTCTTTACCACCGACGGTGTAGCGGTCATTCTGCAAATAAACGTGCATAAGAAAGTCATCGTTAACAAATCTGGCAGATTCATACACGCCGGCAACATGAGGTTTATTACCATTTAATAAACTACTTATTTAAAATGAGCTGAAACATAATTCTTTAGGTTTTTGGGAGACAACTTAATTGTTTTATGTTCAATCCACTTAAGTTTGTAAAAACTAATATTATAAATTGAATTCCTTCTTGTTGTCCAAATAAATCTATTGTGTGGAACTATTTTGTGTTTAAAGGTTTAAAGACAAATTTGTAGGTAGTATTTATAGGTTTGATATTGCAGTATGCAGTTTGTAAATTTAAATGATTAGCTTTTTTACTGTCACTGTATTGAGATCAAAACTAATGAACCTTTTTCACAAGACATGACGAGTTTAACAGTCATCAGCATCTTAAATCCTCTAAAGTTTTTATTTTTTTGTATTTTTTTTTTTTAGATTGCTTTAAAACATATGTACATTTAAATGTATTCATGTATGTATTATATCATCTGTGCATCATATGACAAAAAACAAATGACCGCTTGAATGACAAACAAATGAAGCGTTTATAATGCAACATTATATTGTTGGCATTGTTCTCTCTTCTGGCTGCCAATATCAGTCTCACACTATTTCTTTTTCTGAAAGTCTTGATAACATCATCATGGAGTTATTTCTATTATTTCAGTAAATAGGATTTTTTTTTTTAATGATTGTTGTACAGTCCCTTTCACTGTGCTCTAAGTTTACTTAACTAAGACGACTTCTGCTACTGAGAAACCTGAAAATGTGAAAAGTTTCATAATTAAGAAATTAAATATTGTACTAATCTAAAATATGAGAATTTCAGTTTCATTGATTTTATATTGATTATAAATACAAAGTGGGACTAACTGTATTCAAATAAGCAGTTAGTTAAATAAACAAATAACTTCTTTTTTCTTATTTTTTACCCATAACCTCCTAACTTTATTTTTAGAAATACATTAAATCAATTAATACAATAGTCTTTTTTTGTCTTAAGCTAAAAACAAATAATGATATAAAACCAAATTATCTATAGCCGGCTTTCCATCCTAACTTGAAACCATTTTTTTCAAGGTTCGCAAAAAAGAAAAAAAAAAAACTCAAATGGGAATTACAGGTGCATTTCTAGCAAGCTGTTAAAAAAGCCCAGCTATTAAAAACTAAGACAATTATTAATCCTAGTTAATGGAAACTACAGCATTTATTAATATAGTTCTCAGCATATATGAGTAAACCCCCCACAAGTCTCTCATTTAAACTAATACTTTCTATAGGAAGCTTTACAATATTAAATTTGTGCATATACATTAGACCAAATCTGGAGCTATACTAACAAAATAACTTATGATAAATGTTCAAAAATTAGTAGCCCAAATTTGTTAAAGAAAAATATTAAACAAAATTTTCAAAAACAGCAAAAATCAAAAGAAACAAAAAATATTTACAATTTTAATGAAATGTTGTAGCTTGTATGCTTTTGCAACATTTTTCATAAATTTAAATGTATTATCTTTATATTTGTAAAGATGTTTTGTGGCTAAAATAGTATTTATATATATATATCTATATATATCTGTTATATATATCTGTTATATATATATATATATATCTGTTTAATAAATCTGTTTTGTTCAATTACACAAATAAATATTACCCATATTCATTCAGAAATATATAAAATATTCATATTTAACATGGGGCGTATTCATTTATACTGTATCTTAATGACATAAAATTGTCTCTGTTGATATAATTTAATGCGTGTGTGCTGCATGACGTAAATCAAACTCAAATCAAATACTTGTATTTTTATTAACTAATGTTAAAAATAAATACTGATTGTACGTTTATGCTTGTCAGTCCATTAACTTAAGTAAACCAACAACAGCATACAGTAAAAGATAAGTCAAACTTTCGATTCATTATTTTAATTGAGCAGTCAACTTAAGATTTCCTATTAAACTGTTATTCAGATTGTGTTCTCATTGTTTAACCTATAAAAAAACTCATTCATAAACCATTAAAATGGCAACACAGAAAGCTTTCTTTGTGTTCAGACTAGATTAAAAGCAGAAAGTGTCCACTGGCGAGGGCTTAAAAGTTCTTGGCTAAACTAGGGTTAACGCAGGCCGCTTTAAGAAGTTTTATCTGCATTGTTTGTTTCTGTGAGCTGATTAGACCCGTCTTCACAGAACATGGTTTGTTCTGTTAATCTGCTCACAGGGCAGCAGCGCTGGCGTTTTTTTCTGCTCTTTGAAGCACATGCACACACGCACATACCAGTGGAAGAAATTAACAATCGACAAGCAGTGCGCTGACCTGATTTTCCCCTGGTCATAATCTCGTACCATTCATTAAAACAGCACAACAATAGCGCTTTTTTAGCACGAACAACCCCCGCTTACGTCCACACACTCGTGACTCAAAGTCCAGTCGCCTTCCCAGGTAAGAGCGAACAGGTATATAACTGTCATACTGTGTGTGTGTGTGTGTGTGTGTGTGTGTGTGTGTAGTGTACTTATTTATACTGCGCACAAGTGTGTCAGACATGTTTATGTGTATTTGTGTTAAACTATGTCAATGTGGGCAAATCTTATGCTGTGTGTTTGTGTGTAATGTACTTATTTATACTGCGCACAAGTGTGTCAGACATGTTTATGTGTATTTGTGTTAAACTATGTCAATGTGGGCAAATGTTATGCTCTGTGTGTGTGTGTGTGTGTGTGTGTGTGTGTGTGTGTGTGTGTGTGTGTGTGTGTGTGTGTTTGTTAACGTCATACTGGAAATGCTTACAGTTATGGAGTTTCTACCGTTTTTAATATCTACTACATATTAAATTTCCCTTTAGATTCCAGACATTACATTTCCATTGAATCATCTGGCAGATTCATGTATCCGAAATGACTTACAAATGAGGAAAGTAGAATTAAAGCAGAAAAAGAATAGCATGTGCTGTAAAGTGTCAGTCATTCTAATTCTATTAAAGAAATATATATTTATATCTCTATGTCTTTATATTTATATAGAGAGAGAGCAGAGTGCCAGTGTTAGAATGTCAGCTTTTTGGTTTTAAAAAAACACAGAAAAGTGTAAAGAGAAAGGAATAATAAAAAATTATTTTAAGGTAATGAAACTTAACACTTAAAGGGATAGTTCACCCAAAACGAAAATTATGTAACAAAAAAATTAATAACACAAAAGAAAATATTTTGAAAAACTGAAATCCTGAAGCCATCAACTTAATGTAGTATTTGTAGTTCTTACTGGGAGTCAATGGTTTTTAGCTTTCTTCAAACTATTTTCTTTTGTTAAGAACAGAAGATAAATCTCATAACCATTTGACCACTTTGAGGGAGAGTAATCATCAATTTTTGGGTGAACTATCCCTTTTTTTACCGGTCTTCATTGACCTCAATATTTTAGCTGTTTTTAATTAAAACGAGTCACATATAAAATATGTATCATATAATGTAAACACTTGAACTGTATAAATTGGAAATTATACTGCCATTCATTAAAAAAAACAACATTTATTCTTTACAATTAAACTAAAACTACACTGCCATTCATTTGCTTTCCTTATTCAGCACTAATCCTAACTTGTGCACACTTTGTCTAATTTTCCCTCCATTAAGCTAGTTAGATCATACACATTTCATATGGTAAAAAAAATACTTTAGGCCAGAAGCCAATCTGATGAATGGGCTGGTTCTTTTGCAGTTGTTCACCTTATTTTCTATTGAATTATGAGATTTAAATATTGCATTTTAGTGACATTTTAAGCACTATCTTTAGCTGGATAAGCTTGTCGGATGGTCATCATAACCACACTTTTTGAGGTACCAAACACATTTGCTAAATATTTAGAATAAAGAAATACGACAAAATGTATTACATCATATATCACTTGGGGGAAAAAAAGAAGTCTGTTAAAGTTTTAAATAAAAAAACAAACAAACTGTGGCCTATTGTCATTTATTGGGCAAACAACAAACCATCATATTCATATTCCATGGCCAGCATATTCAACTCAGTCATAATTTGGCCATCTGAATACACAATTTATGATGGCATATATATATATATATATATATATATAAATTTTTTTTTTTTTTTTTTTTTTTTTTTTTTTAAAGATTTAAAATATTTTGGAACAGTAAACATGTCAGGCTGAATAATTAAAATGATTCACTGACTTCGGCTGTCTTCATTAGTTTAAAACCAAAACTAAAAAAGTAAAAGTAAATAAAAATTCTTAAATATACCTTAGTAACGGTATTACATAAAACTGTGGCGGTTTTAAAACCTTGACTTTTACAAACTGCGGTATACCATAAAAATGGTTAGTCACATGTTTAGTATACACTGTAAAAAAATGCAGTGTTCCACACAATTCATTCATGTTGCCCCCAACACAAATAGATGAAGTAAACTTTAAAAATGTAAGTGGACTGAACATAGAACAGCTAACTTATCCTAAAGAAATCTTAAGAATTGTGTTGTTTCAGCTTATTTTAAATAAGTAGTTTGAACAAGCAGCAAACATATGTTTTTGAGTGTATAGTAAAGTTAGTTTAATGCAAGTGTAAGTTGCTTTTTGTATTAGCAACCTTTTCCAAACTTATGGTATGAAGTGTAAACAAAACACACATCTTGACAACGTCACATTTAAAAGCCGTAAAACCAAGCCCTTCATGTCAAATGATAACATATTGTCAAAAAAAAAGAGGACAATGTATTCCCTCACTGTTAACTTTGATATATCTAGAAGTTTTTGTTATACAAGGTGATATGACCTGTTTTCTTTTTTTTTTTTTTTTATTAAGATGCCCCTGTTTTGTGTACTCCTTTAGATGTTGCCAAGCCTCTCATGTTAAATGATAACATATGGACGGAACAAATATGGTACACTCTGTTTTCTCACTGTCAACTTAGAAAGTCTGGAACAATATATATTTTATTTTTATTATGTTTATTTATTTAAATTTTTTCTTTCAATGCCGTGGTTGTGGTAGAGGAGGGGTAATGTACTGCTTTAAATTGTTAATGCAAAAGCTCAATAAATAAATAAATAAATATATAATAAATAAATAAAAATGTAAAATCTCATTTAATTTATCATTACATACAATGTCTTCCTGCCGTCTCATTTTAGTTGACTTACTACAAAACACTGAGCTCTAATGACTCACATGTATGTTTGTATGAACACATGCACGCACACTTACATTGCACATGATCTTAATATGGGAGACCCTCCTTCCAGAACTGGTCTGGTCATCGGTGAGTGCAGAAAGCACAAAGTCTCCCGGTTTGGAAAGTGACTCTCTGACCAGAAACGTCCCGGGCTCATTGCGCTCCCGGAGCAACTTCTCAGCATTTGGACCAGACAAATGGCCATGATACCATCTGAAGATGTAAACGCAAAGAAAAAAGGTCACTGTGAACTTCAAACTACAGTCTGCACATTATAAAAATTAGATGCCATAATAACCAAAACATTTCTAGGTCAAACAGTAGAGTATGTTATATTAAAATTCCTTTTCCGTAGTACAGAGAAACTGACGCAAAATAAACCAGTCAAGGTATTTAGAGGACAGCAGTTTCTAAAAATAAAAAACTAGAGCCAAACAGAGCTGCACCACAAACCACTGTAGCCATGAACACAAAAACAAGAGGCTGAACATTCATGTCACCATCTACATTTCCAATACTCATATATTTCTAGATCATGATGCAAAAGTTTGGAGGTCCTCACATTCTACCATGCGAAAATGTGAGTTAACAATTGGGCTCAGTTCTCAATTTCAGCATCTCAGCTTCCTGTACTGCGGTCGGAAAATTTTCTGATGACAAGATTTCTTGACTCGAGACTTTGGTGTATTTTTAGCTTGTCCTTCCTTCTCTCTTCTCTTGTGAAAAAAAAAAGAGAAAAAGGACTTGCTTAATCGCCTCTCGGGGGGTGGAGGGGGGAGTGCTTTCTCACAAAATAATGATTTTGGTGTCTTTGAATAATAATAAAGACAAATTATTTATTAAATACAACAAAACGCATGACAAATATAATAAGTCATGCAATCAGGAATTCGCATTAGGAATACTTGCCATATGCCTTTAAGTGTAATTGTATTGTTTACAAATTTTTATTTTTTACTTATATCTTTGGATTACATTATATGTATAATTTTATTTTTTGTAATTTCTTCTTAAAATTCTACTCTTTGTATTTATATTATATGTTAGGCATTTGGGGTCTGAGAGTAACACAATTTCAATACTCTGTCCTGTACATGTGGTTGAATTGACAATAAAGCTGACTTTGACTTTATTCGGCGTATTCTGTCATTTTATTGCATTGTAAAAAGACAGATCTGTCCGATTTTAGAAGAGACCTAAAAGTTTCATCTTCTTTATTTCTGGCAATCAAAATATTCTACACACTTAATGTGAGTGTCAAATGTATGAAACGTTATGTCATTACAAATTCTCCTCCAATGTGACTGACTTTAAAATGTAATTTTCTTTTGGCACAGATAACAATAACTGGTTAATGTGCGAGACAGCATTATGCACTGTTGGTGCATGGTGAAACTAACATTTGTAAGACAAATTTTATAAACCTTTAATGTGAAAAATTGGGTTTAATGCATGACAAAAAAAATATACATATAGACCAAATTTAATGTCCAGTTTTTTAAAAAATATGTTTATTATGTACAGGCAAAAAGATCAACCCAGAAAATTTGAATAACATGCAAAATTGCATGTTACATGTAAAACTGCTAAAAAATTAGATGCATATTGTGATCTAATGCAACACAAAAGTGAAATGCGGGATAGAGGTCTAAAATATATAACTTTCCTAATGCATTAAGCCTCATGAAGCAATATTTCTAATGATTAACTAAAGAAGTAAAATGGTTAACAAACATTGTAAATATTGTTCAGCTTGTGTTAAAATTATATTTATAGTCATTTAAATATAAAGCATACAAAAAAATTATATTCTTAACCTAACTCTATACTGATTTTGGTCTTTTAAAATCAAGTTCTCATTGCATTTAGCCATATAAAACACTTTTCATGCTAAACATTTTAAAAACAAAATGACCTTCCCTGCCCAGCATTTCACTGGCTCCCCCACAAAATAAGATCAAATAGTTAGACCAATAGTTTTCATTGACCATAACCTTGCTTTGCAATAAGCTTATGTTATAAACAAATTAATTATAAACTTATACATTTATGAATAATCTATCCTTCAGTTTTTTTTATAACAGACTTGAAAAACCTTATGCAATCAAACATAGTCTTCACTAAATTAAATTTAAACCTTTTAAAATCTACAGAAGTTATTGAGTCAATATGAATCAAATAATCCCCTATACCCTTAAAGAGGATCTATTATGCCTCTCTTTACAAGATGGTAAACATGCCTGTGATGTCCATGTTTGTGAAGTTTCTGCTCAAAGTAAACCCTAAAAAACCCTAATCTTTTAGGCTTTGATCCAAATTGTGCCGTTTTGGAGACTGTTGCTTTAAATTCAAATGTGATTTAGCTCTTATGCCTCTTTTCACAAAAGAGTGGAGCTAAAATGCTCACATGCATCAGCAAAGTGGCAGATTCAAAAAAGGACATTATCTGTGCATTATCGGTGCAAAAACTCAGGGCTGTCTATGCTAATGAGGGAGAGATCGTCACAAATGGGCGGGGCTTTCCCCCTCTGATGACATGTAAAAAAGCCAATGCCAATAAAACTGTTGATGCAGACTGTGTGATTATAAAAAATAGAATTAATATTTTACCATTAAGAGAATATTCAATATTCAAGCACTTTTGCCACACAATGAATACTTAAAAAAGTGTTTTTTGCATAATAGAGTACACTATTTGAGAAAACAGCCACTTGTAACGATGTCAGAAACCAAAGTGAACATTCTGATCTTAACTTATTCAATCCTACAATGCATTGCAATACCTAGAGTACAACCAATGTACACTCAATGGCTAGAGAATACACAATGCACTGTGAGAGTTTACGTGCCAAATGATTTGCCCATCCATGGTGGAATCCTATTGGTGCAAGTGTAATATCCTATAGTGTAATGTGACAGAAATCAATGATCTGGCCAAGACATTTAAGATCTATTTTTATCAACCAGCAAACCACAAACAAAATGGCACAGAGCTTGAATATGTTTACTCATTTTCATTCAGTCGTTTAAGTGGACTACATCAATGACCTAATAAAGGTAATGGTCAACACTGGCTCATTGGGAATATGTGCTCAGGGCTACATTTTTGAGAACTAAAAATATGTGCTTGAGGGTACATAATGGCTACATCTTGTTAAAAAAAAAAAATCCTACAGGGCAGTACGGATGTCTTATCCGATGTGACTGGTTTGATCGTAGCTACTAAAATACTGATTCATGTCCTATTTCTGTCTCATTTGTAAATTTTCACTTGAGAAATCACCACAAAAATGGGTATTGGGTCAAAGCTTCATTTGTTAATCCACAAGAAGAAACCCAATTCATGGTTTCCATGCTGTAATACATAAAAGGCTCAGCAGAAATTTGACTCAGGTTTTTCTGTTTTGTCCTTGATTTTACAGTAAATGACTGGCAGTTGTGCTTGCCAACAATCTACTGTTTTAGTAAAATAAAAAAATAAATAAGCAAAGTATTTTACTGCACAATCTGGCCTTTTTCTAGAGCATTTTTTATTACATAAGAAATTCAGATCCTAACTGAGAAACACTGCTCTTACCCATAGTGCTAGATTTAAAAAATCATACATGTTTGCAATGACATTGCAGGTCACTAAATGATGACTTTTTTGGGGGCGGAGGGGATGAATAACTTGGCAGAATAAAACGAAATATCTAAAATGGCAGAAAGAAAGCTGATTATTTAAAAAACACTTACCATTTTTGGGGCGATTTACAAACATACATCAACTGTGCAACTTTTGTGGTGCAAGAAAGCTTACAGCTCAGTTTGAATCAAGTTCATCACAAGCATGACCAAAAAAGAGAAAGAGACAGTAAAGAGACGAAGGAAGGCCTGAATGGGTCTGGTCACTGTTTGCAAATGTGTCAAAACTAAAGTTTCCAACCGCAGTAGAAAAGAGGAAGTCAGACACATGGCAGAGGGTGGGGTGGAGTATGTCTGCAATTCAAGATTCTTCAACTTGAATTAAAAAGCATTCATTAAAATTAATGAGCTATTTATAAAATGCCACTTTGAATAAAGGGATTCAGAATCAATCAAAAAAGGAATTCTGTCAAACTAGGAAATATGATAAAATAAAATAAAATAAATATAATATAATATTATATAATATAATATAATGCAATAAAATATAATATAATAGATCTTTTTAATTCGTGATCTCACACTTTTGCACTTGTTAACTATTACTTTAACTATTTTATAATTATTATAGTATAAAATGTAAATATTTATTATGCATTTATTTATTACTGCAATTTAACCATGATTAATTCACTTGCATTTATGTTACATTAATCTGTGTTAATGCAGTTTTATTTATTTAGTGAACGCAAAATAACTGCAAAATAATCACTGATACCACTTTTCTTTTTGCATCAAATAAAATTAAGCATAAAAAAAAGAAACTAAATGAAATCTAACAGTCTTTCATATCCAGATAATGTCCATTTTTCATTTGCAGGTTTATCAGAATGCGCATCTTACATTTGTCATGTTAACTGATTTCTACTTGACGATCAGGCTAACTATATCTTAAAACTGTTTGGTGTTTTTCCTCTTCATTTGATAAGATTACTGGCAGCAGTGGAAGGCATGTTGGAGACTTTGTTCCTCAATTTGTGACATAACTGAAAGTAGAATCTGGAAGGATTCCAGCGTGTGATAAAATAAATAATCATGTGCAATAAATAAAATGATTGACCAAATCAATGAACCAACAGCAGGGCCAGGCAAACCCAAGAAGATTGTTAGTGCATGATTCACACTGGCAGTCATACACAGTTCAAGAAACTGCATACATGTAGAACATTACACTCCCTCATAACTTTCAAAATTAATACGCAGTTTAACCAGTTTCTATAGTAAACCACTGTCTGGAAAGCTAATTGCCTTTTTGTCTACTTTATTCATGTAGTTTCACTTACTGATTTACACATTCTACACTTTCAGAAAAAAAGTTACAAGGTGGTACAAATAATGTTCCTTAAGGAACAGTTTTGTACTTTTGTAAAAGTTGCACCTTATATGGTACAGAAAAGACCTCTTATGATACTGTTCTGTACCTTTTATGGTACAGCTGAAATGAAGATACAGAATTGTTCTCATATAAAAGGTAAAAAGTGTTGGATAGCTCTTTTTTACAATATCTATGAAAATAAATATTACTGGAAAGGCAAAGTGATTTTATGAATAATTTCCATATTAAAACATGAATCATCATTTAAAAGCATATGCTTAAAGAAACTCATACACATTAAGTAAGTTCTATACAAAGCAACTTGTAAAACAAAACTATAGGTATTGTAAACTAAACATTTAAGGCATTTTTAATAAACATTTGATGAGCATTTTCTGATAAACACGTTTTCATTATTGATATCCGCGCCTTTTGGCATTTGCTTTTCAAAACGCATGTGAGCTGGCAAAAATCCTGCATATGCAAAGTGTTTACGCAGACATTTAAGCAGAAAGTATTCTGTAACATTTTTGAAATGTTAATTGTTAAAGTATTTTTTTATTCTTTATTGTAAATGTAAAAGGTGCATTTACACAAAAATAATCTTTTTTTAAAACATAGATAAGCATTTTTTTTGATGTTTTATATTTACTGAAAAAATTGTACGTATTTTGGATATACAGTAGCAAAATGCCTTTGAATAGTTCTGGAAGGAACACATTTGATATTGTTAAGGTACAAAGAGTCTTGTCACAGTAGAGGTACCTTCATGGATCAGATTTTTACCTTTGAAGGTACAATATTGTATCTGCAGGTTTTAATCACCAAAGGTACAATTTGGTTTCCCTTGGTACAAATCATGTCCTTAAAAGTACAAACTGCAATGGTACAAATTAGTTTCTTTGTCTTAAGGTACAATTCTGTTTCTATAAAAAGGTACTGCCCCAGTTACAAAGGTTTATACCTTCTTTGGATCAACATTTTACCATTTTTTTTGAGAGTGTAACTAACTCTAAGAAGCATACAGGAGTAGTTTACTACAGTACAAAATAACATATACATAGTGAACTATATTCATCACTCTCTTTTTTTATCTTTCAACCAAAGATTCTGTCAGCTTTTTTTTAAATGCTGGAGTGATGGACGGCTGAATCCATCTACTTCACTTGATCTTTCTTAGAAACTCTACTTAAAGTACATTATTAGTTTGGAATTTACCACAGCCAAAATAAAAAGTGCCAGCATCAAAATCATAAACTTTTGGTAAAATATTAAGACAAATATAAAGACAAACTGTATAAGATATGTTTCGATCCAGATTTTGAACCTATTATTAAATTGTTAATGTTTTATTTGAATTTACCTTACTGTTGGGTAGAGATATAGACAACATGAATATATGATGTGAAGATTACAAAATCTGATCTATATATAATAATATACAATATCTTAACTATAATATAATATAATAATATATTACAGTATGCTTATATATAAAACTATTTATAATAATTTATTAATATATTTATTTAACATGTTTAATGTTAATAGATGTTATATTATGTTAAAATTACAAAAAAATTATTAATATGTTTATTGAAAGCGTTGTTATATATATATATATATATATATATATATATATATATATATATATATATATATATATATATATATATATATATATATATATATATATATATTTATTTTTTACTTATTGTGTACTCTGCTACATCAGATAAGACAAGGAGGTATATACTTAAAAGCTTTTTTTATTTAAACAAAGGAATTGTTCCCAAGTAATGTTGAAACTTAAAGTATAATAACAGTACATTGGTATTTTTATTTAGACAAAGTAAACTTAAAAATATATGTGACCTTTCCTCACTGTAGGTATACCAGCGGTACACTACCAGTTACCATTATAAAGTTGCCAACCACACTACAGCTTCTAACAGAAATAAAATACAGTATAACTCTCTATAACTATGTACTTGACATAGATTTGTTAGCTTGCAGTTTAGCTAACATGTTTTTGAAAGAGGTAAAAAAAATTTATTTGCATAAAATACCACTGCTAAAAACTACAGAGCTTCCAAACACTTCTCAAACGTGCAAATCAGCAACACTTCCTTGAATGATAATAAACAAATAATAAAAAATAAACTAAAACATGTAAATTGTTGGCTTTATGAGACAAATGGTTGAACATCGATGGCCTAGAATAGCTTATAAAAGCCCATTGCAGCCTTTGTTTATGTTTACATGGAAAGCAATCATTTGAGTAGCATATACATTTGCAAACAGGTTTTCCAATTGACCCAACATCACTTTCTGCATTAAGCTTAGCACTGAAAAATAAAGTTGTATGAGACATGGAAATATCACTTTGACCATTAAACTTTTTTTGTTTTTGACCGAACACCTAATATAACAACTTAAACATAAACAACTGATACAAACAAATGCTACATATTTTATCATAACCAAAAGCAGTATGTAACATAAAACATGACTAAAATGTTCACCCATTTGTGGGGTGCCTAAATAATTGGGATGTTTTTTGTTAATAAGAGACATAGGTTTGTTAATAATAGACATAGGCTTCTTAGAAAAAAATCTAATAAATATCTAACAATAGTTCCAAGATACAATATTTAAGACTATTGTTATATCTCTACTAGATATTCACTGACAGCTCAAATTTAACCTTGTTTTAGTCAAGATGTCTATTAGACATTTATTAAATGCACAAAAAAATGCTTGCTCAGTTGTATTGTAAATGTGAAAATTTAAATGGAATGATTCCATGATTAACCTATGTACACATCATAACCATAATATTTTAAATGGTATGATGGGAGTCTGGACTTTGCATAGACAAGGTTAGCAAATGTCACATTTCATAAAACACTAAGTACATTGGTAAAATGCAGATAAAACTCATCCTGAAGGTCAGTATGCGGAATATCAGAATCTCCCAAAGCCAAAGGTCAAATAAAATGGCTAATTTGAGCTATTTCTTGTTTAACTTGGCAAACACACCTGGAAATGTCCTGAATGAGGGTCAGATATGATTGCTTACCTCTCTGTGGTGGGATCGGAACAGTTTAAAGGGTATTTGAGCTCAATAACAGTCCCATCTTTATCCTGTAGGGTTCCATGATCTCCAGTGTAGTACTCCACTAACTCTGCCAATGTGGCAAACTTCTCCCCACCATACAGGTCATAATAATCCCCTGTGTTTTGAATCCTAATGTGGGTGATGATCTCCCCAACTCTGGAGAAAAAAAAAGAGAAGCAAAGACAGTTGATGATGTAAAATAAGTATTTCTACTTTATCATCGGAAAAATCGCTAAACATAGACTAATCAGAACAAAATCTATCAGCATCAGAATGCAATGTCAAAGGAAATTGAGAAACAGAAAGTTAGTGTGTAGAAATGTTATGTGAGTATGTAGTAATTACCTGAGAAGAAGACTTTTTTGCAAAGCATTGCAGCTATTTTTTTTGCTGTCATAGATATTGATTACCCATATCAATCATGCTTTTCACCAAAGTGTGTTTTAAAAAGAAATTCAGGATAAAACTTGACCTTATTTCAACTCCCTTATTCCCTCATGAAACATTAGTGTCAGATTTAGAATAATATATATCCCATACGTATATATATATCCCATAAATGAAAGATTTAAATTAATCTTACATTAATTATTCAACAATTATCGTAAATGCTGTTTATTTTAAAGTGTCCTCGATGTGTAAACTATTAAATAACATGAATTAACTCTAGCACAAACCCTAATCCTAACCTTACACTAATTACATTCAATAGTACAAGTACATTACCTTGTAATAAATACATTTTAAAGTAGTTTATTAGACAATAAACATTGTTTTACACTGGATTTGACTTCAATTGCAATTTTATCCATAGATAAAGTTTTAATACACTACCAATATGGTTCAAAAAGTACAACTAAAAGCAAATCAATGCAATCAATTTGCTGATAAAAAAGTAAAAGATTTCTTCTATGTTACTGTACATGAAGATAAAAATAAATCTATCATTAAATGAATTGTGAACTGTAGGTATACAGGTTTTCTTGAATTTTCTCTGACATGTTCCTGAGTAGGTCACAACAGAAGTATTGTTTCAAACTTTTGAGTTATTGACACTGATTTTTACCCTTTATAAAAGGTTGACTGACATTTGGTTGGCATTTACTAACACTAAAAAGGTAAGTGGAAGTCGCATCCCTGACAATGACGCAGCATGTTGATTTTGTTCATCATTGAGCAGATATTATGCAAAGTAGACTGGAAAACTGTATTTAAGCATATTTGACCATCTATATGTAAACACAAGTTTACGGTTTATGGAAAAAAAAGTGCAAATTATTACAATGATGGAGTCAACGGTTGCTGAAAGACACAAAATAAAAAGGGGAAATAAGAAAACAGGTTTAATAAAAGGAATGAGACAGCTGTAGCACGAAAATGTATGCACTGACATGTTTTAAGGTCAGAAAACCACAGCGCTTCTGAATAAGTGATGTACTGTATAAAAATACAGAACTATTAAATGCTTAGTCTGTGATGTCTTTGGATTTCTAAAAATGTAATAACTAAATAAATAACTGTCTTTAAGGGAAGCATATAAATGTTTTCTATAGTCCACAACACTGTGAGGCATAAAAGAATAACAAAACATGAAAATCAAACCAAATGCAGTAACATTCAGTACATAGAAAGAAATTAGAAGAGTTTTTTTAGACAACACACAGAGAGTTCATTTCAGAATTTGAGTAGATAGTAGAACTATGTAGGGTATCTATCAGTCAATCTGACCTCAGCTTATCCTTGCTAGCATTTTTTTCTAAAGAGGGGTAGAAAACTGATATTTTTAATCACACCAAATTAAAAGGAAAATGCTGTACCTAACAGAAAGGGAGAAATCGCCCACATTTTTCTTGCTTGGTCGAGCCAGGAAGCTGCCATGGACTCCTCGGCTCTTCAAAACGGCTTCTGCATCTAATCCTGAAAGATCTCTGTGAAACCACCTGTTGAACATTTAATGCACAGCTGTTAGTGGAAAACTCTTTAGAGATGATAAAATAATGTTTTAAGTCATTGGTCCTAGAGGAGCTAATGATTTAATAGTCACACAAATGCTAAATGTTTCACGAAAAGATGGTTATTACACTACAAATTTAGGACAAATATTAACAAAGTCGAGGTAAATTTTTTAACAAGATTTTACGTTTAATCCAATCATTAGTTTTGGTCATTTTTGACCATATTTAGGGTGAAACAACCCCTAAGAATTCTGTCTCTCACTCTTCATGTACATAGAATATATTAGAAGAAAATTTATTTTAAGTTTAACGTTTAACTAAGGATTCAGATTGTCCATATTTGGACCAAAATGTAGAGTGAAACAACTCCATAAAATATTGATATGTACAGTTACTACATATACATATATATCTGAAATCAGAATTATTAGCCTTCCTGTTAAATTTTAATTATTTTTCCCCCTATGTTCTGTTTAACAGAGAGATTTTCAACGTATTTCTAAACAATAGTTTTAATAACTCATTTCTAATTTTCTTTATCTTTGACATGTTGACAGTATATTACTCTAGATATTTTTCATGATACTAGTGTTCAGCTTAAAGTGCAATTTAAAGGCCTAACTAGGTTAATTAGGTTAATTAGAGAAGTTATGGTAATTAGGCAAGTCTTTGTATAGCTGTGGTTTGTTCTGTAGACTATCATAGTACAATATTATAGTAAAAACTATACTGGCCAAAATAAAACAAATAAGATTGTCTGTAGAAGAAAAAATAATGTCAGAAATCCTTTGAAAATGCACTCATACATTTGTTAAACATCATTTGAGAAACATAGGATAAATATTGCACAGGAGGGCTAATGATTTTGCACTCAACTATATGTATACATATATACAGTATAACTGGCTGCATTTATCCACATCATGAGAATTACAGTTTAGATTTACCAGTTAACTTACAAATAATTGTTGTCAGACATATTTAAAACATCTTATTACAGAAAAAAGACTTTTAAAAATACTCACTACACCGTAAAATGATTTAATGACAAAAAGTCAAGACAACTAATATTTTTTTATGTTTAAGTTAATCAGGTTTCAACATTTTCATAAGTTCTACACAGGTTAACCTAAGATTCCTTTTATCTTTATCATGATGACGGCACTTATTACCCTAAGTATTTTTCAAGATACTAGTATTCAGCTTAATGTAAAATTTAAGGGCCTACCCAGGTCATTTTGGTTAACTAGGAAAGTTATGGTAATTAAGCAAGTCATTGTATAGCATGGGTTTGTTATGTAGACTATCGTAGTAAAATATCGTAGTAAAAACTATACTGGCCAAAATAAAACAATAAGGACTTTCTCTAGAAGAAATCATAAATCCTTTGAAAAGGATATTTGTAAAAATTTTGAAAAAGAATAAATATTGCACAGGTGGGCTAATGATTTTGCCCTCAACTGTATACATCCAGTTGAAGTCAGAATTATTACCCCCGTTTATTTTTTTCCCCAATTTTTGTTTAACCGAGAAAAGATTTTTTCAACACATTTCTAAACACAATAGTTTTAATAACTCATTTCTAATAACTGATTTTTTTTTTCTTTGGCATGATGACAGTACATAATTTTTTACTAGATATTTTTAAGAGGTACTAGTATAAAGCTTGAAGTGACATTTAAAGGCTTAATCAGGTTAATTAGGTTAACTAGGCAGGTTAGGGTAATTAGGCAAGTTATTGTATAATGATGGTTTATTCTGTAGACTATGAAAAAATATATTAGCCTAAAGGGGCTAATTATATTGACCTTAAAATGGCTTTTAAAAAAGTTAAAATAGCTTTTATACTAGCCAAAATAAAACAAATAAAACTTTCTCCAGACGAAAAAAATATTATCAGACATGCTGTGAAAATTTCCTTGCTCTAATCATCATATAGGAAATATTAAAAAAAGAAAAAAATTCAAATGGGGGCTAATAATTCTGACTTTACTGTATATACAGTAGATAACTGTGTGCATTTATCCACATCGTGAGATATGCCATTTAAATTTAACAGTTAACTTGCAAATAATTCTTGTCAGACATATTTAGAACAACATCTTATTACAGAAAAGACTTTTAAAATACACTGTAAATGATTTAATGACAAAAAGTCAAGACAACTAGCACTTTTATGTTTCTTTAACTTCGATTAATTTAATCAGGTTTGAATATTTTTGACAGATTGACAGTTTTAGTCAGTTTGATTAATGCAAGTTAAGATAACTAAAAAAGTGAATTGGATTCAACTATAACATTTAAGGCAGTCTTTTGTCATTTAAAACCTTTGTAAATTGGCACCACCAAATCACTATGTTTAACCCATATTTCAGTTTGACATTTTTTTTAATATTATACATATGACTATGATCACTTTTATACAAATATGAATGAGTCGTTACATTTTATATACAGTGCTCAGCATTATTGAGTACAGCCCATTTTGAAAATAAATACATTTATCCATTTCTCAGTGAATATAGAAAATGCATTTTGGTGCATTTAAACAAAACAGATTTATTAAACAGATATATTTATTAAAATAATATTTTAGACACCAAACATATTAAGAAATTGAAAGATAATATAATTAAATTCAAGCAAAATATTGCAACAAAAAAATACAATTATATATATATATATATATATATACACATACAATATTACAACCTACAAAATTTCAACGGAATTTTTTACTTTTTTTTTTTTTTGCTTCTTTTGATTTTTTTCTCTTTTTTTACATTTGTATTTAATATTTTTCTATAACATACATTTGGCTGTACTAGCTTTAGGACCGTTATGGTAATTTTGTTAGATATACTCCAGATTTTGCTTCAGTACCGGCTAATCTAATGTACATACACAAATATAATATTGTATAGCTTCCAATTAAAAATATGAATATAAAAGATAGATTTGTGTGGGGTGTACTTATATATGCTGAACTCTGTATTGCTGAACTTACATGCAAAAACCAAACACACTCTGTCAAGGCCTACCAAACCACCAAGTGCAATTGCAAAAATGCACACACGCATTGCAACCAGGCACGCATCAACACATAACCCAAAAGCACTTCACAGTCACATACACTTTAAATTGCCAAAGGCAGAAAAGAGTCTGAGGTGCAAAATACAAGAATAGCAAAACTAAAAAAGGGAAGATGAGAAGTTGAACAAGATTGGAACAAGTGCGTGAAAAGTCTGTCTCAACTTACCGAACCATCTTCCCTTTTCAAATGTTCCTCTTCCAGTCGAAAAGAGAAAGAATTGAATGCATGTTAGTATGGTAATATATATATGAAAGAGGCACACACACACACACTCATCCAGTACAGTGGTGTCATGTGTTTGCACTCATCCTCTAGTTTTTCCTCTTGCCCCCCTCTGTCTATACCCAGTGCAGTGCAACCAACCACAGCCCATAATCATTAGTCTAGCGGCTTCATACCTGCCCTCGGCTTCTCCTTCTGTCTCGACACGTAAACAGGGTATTCTGTGCTTAGAAGAGCCGGTCGTCCTGACAGCATATATATGCCTGTCGTTCGTCCCTCCCTCTCTCTCTCACTCACTGTTACAAACTTCTTCCTTCCTTTTTGCGGCTTGTTCATAAAACAGTGAAAGCAACAAGAGAGGCAGAGAAAGATACAGAGATGTCAGATTTGTTTCTGTTTTAATTTTAAGCTGCTTTTTGTGCTTGTAAATCATGAAACAAACATGTTAGCACCGACAGGCAAACATTCAGCTCAATGTTTGAAACGTACAACAGTTAGATAGAGGAACTTACAGGCTAAACAAAACAATGACAACAGCAAAATGCAAATTACCCTCTCTTGCGGTGTCTTTCTGCTGGTTTTACTCTTGCTTGCTTTGTTCCTTCATTTGAGTGCTTGTCTGGCAGGTTGATTTTTTACAGGTTGGGTGTCTAACCTGGAGTCTGACAGTTAAAGTCCATTTTGTTTAAGTGCACATTGCACTTCCTTGTTTCCAGACCTTCACCTCTCATACACTTGTACACATTCACGCGCACATACAAATAAACACATGAGGAAGCGCAGAAACCTGATGCGTGTCATGTTTGTTAACTGCAGCACTAAAGTTGTAATTATTATTGTTGTTATTATGTCATAATGGCCTATAGGCAATGAGCTATTTAATTTAAAATACTTCATATCAAAACATTTTTAGAAACTACACACCAATATTAAAAAATGTGGGGTCTTACAAGTTTTATTGTTTAGAACAGTGGTTCCCAAAGT